GTCATTAAAGGGGATTGTTGGTTTAGGTAGCAATCTATGTTAAAAAAGAAAGAAAAACCAACCATAAACCACCACCAGAGGGGGTAGACTCAGATTTTAGCTTTCAAAAACCTACAATTCAGCAACTGAGTTAATTCCTTCCCGCTATCATCACAACCCCCACCCCATTACAGGGGACCAGGGGACCTCGCCTCTTCAGCCAGGCCAACAATTGTCCATCCGCCCATCTTCTTCCGCTTATCCGGGGTCAGGTCGTGGGGGTAGCAGCTTCAGTACATAGGCCCAAACGTCCCCCCCTGCAGCCATTTAGGCCAGCTCCTCCGGGGGAATCCCAAGGCGTTCCCAGGCCATCTGAGAAACATAGTCCCTCCAGTGTGTCCTGGGTCTCCCCTGGGCCTCCTCCCGGTGGGACATGCCTGGAACACCTCACCAGGGAGACGTCCAGGAGGCATTCTAATCAGATGCCTGATCCACCTCAACTGGCTCCTCTCGATGTGGAGGAGCAGCGGCTCTACTCTGAGTCCTCCCCGAATGACTGAGCTCCTCAACCTATCTCTAAGGGAGAGCCCAGACACACTACGGAGAAAACTCCTTTCAGCCGCTTGTATCCGGGATCTCCTTCTTTCGGTCATGACCCAAAGCTCGTGACCATAGATGAGGGTAGGAACGTAGATCAACCGGTAAATCGAGAAATTTGCTTTTTGGCTCAGCTCTCTCTTCACCACCACAGGCCGGTACAGCGCACACTTCACAGCAGACTCCGCACCAATCAGCTTAGCGATCTCCCGCTCCATCTTTCCCGCATTCGTGAACAAGACCCCAAGATACTTAAACTCCTCCACTAGAGGCAGTACATCCTCCCTAACCCGGAGAAGGCACTCTACCCTTTTGCAGCTCAAGACCATGATCTCAGATTGAGACACTGACCCTCATCCCGGCCGCTTCACACTCGGCTGCGAACTGCTCTAGTGAAAGCTGTAGATTATGCCCTGATGAAGCCAACAGAACCACA